AGGGCTATTGCTTCTCGTTTCTGGTCCAAGGATTGCCTATCGCCTTTCCGCATAGCTAGCCATCGTTTTTCCCATTCGGGATCTGGATGATCCGGTTTTTGACTGTGTAATCTAGTGACGACGATGGCTCTAGCTAAACAAAATTTATCCCAGGGATCGACGATCCGAACGATGGCTCTTTTATTGTTCTTGAAAGTCTCCTTATTCACTTGTAGATGTTTGGTATTCTGTCCATCACTTTCTTCCGGATACTTGACGTGAAACAGATCGAATTCCAGGGAGCCGTCACCCAGTTTGAACTCCTTTTTGGATTGTTGCACGGCTTCAAAATTATCTAAAATGAGGTCCTCGTTTAAATGTTTACATTGCGTAAACTCGTACCAAATAGCTGAATCCAAAGAATCGTGGCGTAGGTTCAGGCGGAGGTAATCGTTAGGATTACACTGAATTTTCGATTTGACGGATTGTAACATGTCTCTGAATAATCGCCGAACGAATCCTCTGTTTTCCTCTTCTGGAAATTCTTTGAAATGGACGATATATTTATTTTCCGAAGCTTTAAATTTTGAAGAGCGCATTTCTCTATGCAGTCTCATCTGATAATACTTGGAAATGGCCTTGGGTTTGGGTGGTGAATGAATAGGTGACTTTGCTCCCTCATGCGCCTTAGTCCTTTGTTGCTGTTGTCGTTGTTTTTCTAGTTGAGCTCTTCTCTGTAATAGTCTGGCATTTCTTTTCCTAAGCTCTAATTCTCGATCTTTATTTTCATGAAGAATTTGATCTAATTCTCTCTCCCGTAGTTGTCGTTGTTCTAATTGAGCTCTTCTCTGTAATATTTCCGCATTTCTTTTCCTGAGCTCTAATTCACTGGTTCTCTGTGGAGTTATAATTCTGTCTAATTCTCTCTCCCGTAGTTGTCGTTGTCGTTGTTGTTCTTGTAGAGCTCTTCTCTGTAATATTTTGGCATTTTTTTTCCCCGGAGCTTTAATTCTTGTTCTCTTTTCTCATAAAGAATTCGATCTAATTCTCTCTCCCTTCTTTTCCATTTTAATAATCGTTGAGCATGTAACTGTTTTTCTCTAGTAGAATCCATGTCCCCGGAGGGAGATGGCTCTGACAGTAGAATGAGCCGATAGTCGGAGAAAAGCCGTATTTATACAGTGGATGACGTCACAATGCATAGGTAAGCTCGATGTCTAGATAGTGTACAAAATCGTACACAGTACGATCAAAACGTAAGTCTATCGTATTTTTGCACACGACCCTAAATAAACCCATAGTATATAAACCAGCGCTGGACATGGACGATCACTCTTCGTTAGCACTTGGAACTAGAAACAGGTAAAATGGAGCACACAAAAAATATGGAAGAAAAAATAGAGCGTCGTTGGTATATTGAGAGATTAGGAGGTATTGACAAGAAAGGACACTGGATGAAAACCACAGAAGAAGTCATACAGGATTTCATGAATTTTAAAATCCATTCCACAGAATCGCTTAAAGAAAGAGAATCTAGGCAAAGAGTGTGGTTTGAAACAAGAAAAAAATTTCATGCTGCAGATTGTCCTAGGAGAAGAAACTTAGTTTGCTGTTGTCTTGCGGGGATGAATGGTCACCCTGAATACAAATGGTCAATCGAGGGTGATCATGGTATTCTGGATATAAGTATCTGGTACAGAGATTTAGAAGACTGTCTTCAAGATTTGTTCCTGGACCTGGAAAAGAGAAAACTTCCAGCCACTTACGCCTACTACCTCTATAGTCGTATAGCCTTTAAGACTGTCTTCAGAATTTATTGTGAAATTTGGGGTGTAACAGAGTGATTGATTGATTACAGATCCCTGAAAAGGTACAGAAGAAGAAAAAGTAAATTTCTGTGTATGTATTTTGATTCTGAATAAAATCTGTTCTTGTCTGTATATTGTGTGTTGTTATTGTTTTCGGTAAAATCCAGTTTGAACTGACTGGCTGGCTAGACTGTGAATAAATCGTGACGTCATAATCACATTCTCGACTCGCTGCCAAATCGTAGTAGCAGCGTTGTGAATCGTAGTAGCAGCGTATAGTAAAAAAAACTATATACAGTGTAAGCGCCGTATTTAGGGCTATGTACTGAATTGAAACCCCCTAGCCCCTAGGGTTAGGGTTAGGGCTGTACTGAGTTGACCCCCCTATCCCCACACACCCCCAATCTGCACTCCCTTGACCCACCTATCCCCCAGACCCCCAACCTGCACTCCCTTGACCCACCTATCCCCCAGGGCCAAAAGTGCACTCAGTTGACCCACCCAACCAGGCCGCTTATACTACTATCGAGACAAGAAACTCGGTTATTTAGAAAGTTACATCTATTCATTATTATTATAAACTGTGATTGAAGTTGAAGATTTCTTTATGTTTTTAAAATAATTCAATATTTCGATATCACATAAGCTTATCTATAGTCTAATTAGGATATAGAGAAAGGTTTCAGAAGTAATATTATCCAGCTGAAATATATCTTGAAATATCAGCAACTAATTTATAAAGCAGAGAAATATGTCTCCATGATACAGTTGTAATAATTAAACCATCTCTTACACATACCTTCTTAAAATTATGAAATAGCTCCCCATAGGAAAAATCTCCTTGCATTGCTTCATCAACAACCATTTTTGACAAAGACTTCGAACTGCCAGGTTTACCGACAAGAAAAAGCGGTATCTTCAGTTCGATACATATCACCATCATGAATACATTTTCCTTCAGAGCTGTATTTTTTGCAATCTTTCTGTTTAGCCGAACGTTTTTCAAGATGAGATCTTGACATCTAAAAACAAATAATGAACATTAGACAACCATATATTTTGGATGTTTTGAAAATATTTTAGATAAAATTTTCAAGTCAATAAAAAATGTAAGAAAAATTAAACAACAATGCTTAACTACTTACCTCGTGTTTACAAAGTTATTAAGTACCTGGATATTTCGTTAAGAAATTGTTGGGCCAAACCAGGAATATGCAACGGTTCCTTAAAAAAATTGACAATGTGTTCCCTGTATTTCGCCTTGTCTTTCAGTGCCGCGTGGTAACATACCCCTGATGACAACACCAGAGCCCTTGTGTCTCTACTCAGTTTCTGTTTAAAAAAGACAGTTTAATACTTTTGAAAAAAAATGAACAATATCAAAAATATGCTGTTTTTGGGAAAGTACCGAATTATTATACTAAAAAATTATCTGGAAATGTTACAGTATTATGAATTCGAAGGAAGATAAGGAGAACCCTTGTAGACGTGATTTCCTTTCATGAGGATGTTTTCATGATCAAAAATCTAAGATCAAGCAATATACTATAGCAATTATAAGAAACGGAAAAGAAACAGATACTTAAAACTGAAAATTTAAATTAAATAATTCTTCATCATCTTACAATCTCATCCACTTCAGAAAGCTTTTCTAATTCATCCATAATTTTGTGTCTGCGGAACCACATCATTACAGAAAGGGCTCTTTCTACGTCTCTTAAACTGACAAAGCTGCATTCGTTCTGAAGCAAATTTTAAAAATAATTATTCTTATGTGCATATGAGGATCACAATGCATACACGAAGGACTAATATCTATCATGATACATCACATTTGAAGAATACGGAAGGTTTTCTACGTGAAATGTTTTTCGTATGTAAAGCTTCCCTTCCTCTGCGATTCCTATTAAGTTCAATCAGACCTTCTCTAAATGATTCTTATACAAAAGCGTCATATTACGCTTAAGCATTTTCGAAATGCTGGTCCAAAGGATTAAAGCAATGTTGAGTTTAAGGTCTTACGCAAGGAAATAGCCAATCAAAATGAACTTGGTCAAATGAATTTCTATATACATAGAGACAATTTATTTTTCTTTTTTCATTTTCAGCAATTTTTGTAGGTCAACTATTTAAATTTTGGACTCATGTACTAGAAATATCATATCTTTAGCAGAATTGTGCCATCGAATTAAGGAGGAATGCCACACCAACTTTTTATTTTATAGATCTCTGAGTCAACCTTTTTAAACAATGATTTCAGCATTTGAAAGGCCCACATTAGCTCTTGAACATTTTATATGAATTATTTTGTATTTTTTTCTTTGAAAAAATACAAAAAACTAATATAAAATAATTAAGAGCTAATATCGGCCCTTCAAACGCATTTTGCCTGAGAACTCAGTCAATAAATGTTTTGTTATACCTTTAATTTTATTTAATTTTTGATATACATGTCTTTTGTACTGTCTTCCATGATATAACCTCGGGTCTCTCACTGATGAACACCACCGCGTGAAAAAAAATGAGATTAAGCTCCACGAATTCTGTGACGTAAGCGTTCCAACATCTCATCGACTGGTCCGACATCTCACTCAGCGGTCCAACATCGATTTTTTATGCCCGCTCAGCAAAACATAAGAAATGTTAAGACTTTTTTGTATCGATTTGTATAGGAACAGATTTTTTAAGGTACATGTATTAAAAAGTGAAATTATTTCCTTGTGTGAGACCTTAACACCATTCAGACATCCGAAACATCGAAGCATAAAATGTTTCTGTGGAAGTTAACACCACTTTTCTGTGCGGGTAAATTCGGGCGTGTTTTGATACAGTTTTGTTCATTGGTCGGGCAAGTTTATTTGAGAGCCTCACAATAATTAACATACTGTACTTATTATCAACACAACTTGATATCAAATGGTACACTTTTAAATCAATGACCGTATTTATTCCCCTTTCTACGGATAAAAATAAGTTTTGGTATTTTTCTTTATAAATCACATAGATTTTGTATCTCAGAACAAATTATCGAAGTTCTAGGCAAAATCATTGATATTTCTTGAGATTTATTTGAAAACGTACCAAATCATTTAAAGTTAAAAATTAAAAATACTGCTTTCCAAACAAATCTGACACAGCTCCATAACACTATTTGCTCTTTTTACCTAATAGGATACTTTAACAGAAATTTTTATTCTTCTGAGGCAGTTAAAGTCACTTATAAAATGGCAGTGTTTCCATCTTGAAAATAAACTGTACCTTCTCATTTCTCATGTAGTCTTGTGATTCTTGAAGAACTTTGCACACAACAGTTTGAATGTTGTTTGTGTTTCGAAGATTGAAAGTTCCTCTAATAGCTGTTATTGGTCGTTGTGAAATTTCCATTTGCTCATCAGTCTGCACATTAAAAAATGTTTACTATTTAAGGAAACCCTACAGGCATGCAGCTGGGGGGGGGGGAGCAATTTCCCAAAAATCTAACTTTAACTTTTATTATAGCATGAAACAAGAAGCACATGTGCCACATCGCTCACCTGAGCACTGTGGCTAGCATAAAAGCAGATATTAGTTTATTATTGAAAAGTTTAAACCCAAAAGTAGTCCCAACCATTCCTAAAAGGTGAGAGGGTATGTGTACATGCTTTAAAACTTGAATCTTGAAACTTGAGGGCACAAATTTGAATCTACACTACCCCAGAATGCTTCCATATAAATACATGACCAATCATGGGTTTGCTATTCTGAAGAAGATTCTTAAAGAATTTGGTCGACCATTGTGTTCCCGCCCTACCCCCGGGGAGTTATGATTTAAACAAACTTGAATCTACACTAACTGAGGATGCTTCCATATAAATATGATCAATCATGGCTTTGTTATTCTTGAAAAGATTTTTAAAGACTTTTCCTATATATTTCTATGTAAAATTTTGGTCGGCCATTGTGGCCCCGCCCTACCCCCGGGGAGTTATAATTTAAACAAACTTGAATCTACACTGAGGATGCTTCCATATAAATATGACCAATCATGGCTTTACTATTCTTAAGAAGAAGATTTTTAAAGAATTTTCCTATATATTTCTACGTAAAATTGGGTCGGCCGTTGTGGCCCCGCCCTAACCCCGGGGGTCATGATTTGAACAAACTTGAATCTACACTACCTGAGGATGCTTCCATGTAAATATGATTAATCATGAATTTGTTATTCTTGAGAAGATTTTTAATGACTTTTTCTATACATTTCTATGTAAAACTTTGGTCGGCCATTGTGGCCCCACCATACCCCGGGGGTCATGATTTGAACAAACTTGAATCTACACTACCTAAGGATGATTCTACATGAGTTTCATCTTTCATGGCACAGTGGTTCTTGAGAAGACGTTTTTTTTTTAATTAGAAATGCCATTAATTTTTCACTAATTCATAATTATCTCCCCTTGGAAAAGGAATTCGCCCTTCATTTGAACAAAATTGAATCCCCTTCACCCAACGATACTTTGTGGCAAGTTGGTTGAAATTGGCCCAGTGGTTCTTGAGAAGAAGATGAAAATGCGAAAAGTTTATAATTACGACGACAACGCCAACGACGACGACAACAACAACAACGACAGACAACGGACAAATTTTGATCAAAAAAGCTCACTTGAGCCTTTGGCTCAGGTGAGCTAAAAATTCATTGAAAGGAATTTGGCTCTCGCGCAGTAATACACTGCAGCATAGTCATCAATGCATAATACGTATTAAAGTAGAATTGTTCATAGGTTATGGTTAAAATTATTTTGAACAGAGGTATATTTACGTGTTTCTTTGCCATTTGCATTATGTACTGTTCTTCAGTTGACGAATCAAGTTGTCCGAAGTCCCATACTAAACTCAACATACTTGACGGAAGTGGTCGTACTCTGTACACAAGATGTCGCATTGGTATTTTACCTTAAAAATATTACGACATTTGGTAAAATGAGTTCAAATAAATTACAACAAATCAGCAAAGAATACTCAGCAGGAAATGATTTATAAAAATGATTACCAAGTTTATCGACTGTGTCTGTTGCATCAACACGGTATCCAAGACCTGCTTCCTCCAAACGTTTGATAACATCTTCACCGTGCCTGTTATAACAATAAAATCAGTTGACAACGGTTAGTGTGAAATGATTGTATATTTTGTTGTGTTCCGCGTGGCGCAGTGATAAGAACACCTACTCTAGAGTCGCAGAATTAGGAGTTGCGGGTTCGAATCCAACTGTTGGACTTGAAGACTTGCCTTTTGGATGAGGCAATATTAACCCATATATAGTGTTGCAAAAGGTGCTTGCACGAAAAAGATCCCTCACTGCTCATTGGCCATAAATGCCGAGAATAGGACAAAATTTGCAGCTCTCCGCCGTCGAGTGGTGACGTCTCTATATGAGTGAAAAAATCTTGAAAAGGGGGGGGGGGGTTAAACAATATACATACATATTTCTTGTATTGTTTTTTCATACAGATGAAATAGAGCATAATTTTTTTACTTTTCCATCAGTGACATCTTGTCTTAATGTGAATCACACCAGGTATAAGCCCTATTCGGATTAAATACAGGTTAAGATGTTTTAATATTTTTATGAATGAAGGAAGGGAGCACGTAAGAATTAATAATTCTCATATATACCTTAAAAAGGATTCTTATGAGGTCAAATATACATGTATATACCCTCAAGACTTGTGAATGTTAGATTGATGTAAATGCATGTACATCAAATGCCATGAACTACCTGGTAGGCATGGAACAATAATCTTCCCCTCATCATTATTCTGTTCTTATGTGTGAACATATGAGAAGAGGTGTTCTTTTATTAAAAGTTTCGATACTTCAATAAAATAAAATTGGCCCAACGTCATTACATTTCCTCTACTCCTTAGATATTTCAGGGTAAATATCTTATTAAATTTTGTTTTTCCTCTGGAAAGTTACGGACCAAACACAAAACATACACTTTTTCTGTCAGTAAACATATCTTAAATTAATGACCTTGATTTAAGGGTAAAACAGTACAAAAAGGCAAAATGATTTTTTTTTGTATCAGTTAAGACCGCCCGATCTTTCTCCACTACAAGAATATTGAGTAGATTGTACGCAGGTAGTATCGGTATCGTATTCGAAAGGGGGGGGATCGAGGGGAAAATTGTGATCACCAGAAATACTTAACAGAAAAAAAATAATTCTCAAAACATGAAAATCCTTATTTTGACTATGCTGCATGCTGTAACAGAAAAAAGGCAACCACTGAATACAATTAATATTTTCTACAAAAAAGCTTATATTTAAAAAAATGTGTGGGGCTAAATCTCGTGCCTATACCTCCCCCAATACTAAGTGCCTAAAAAGAGAAACGAACAGATGATTAGGGCTGTTCATATAATACAAAATAACTTCAGTTGCAGGCTACATGTACATGTATTGATGGTTGAAAGTATGCTGGCTGATCACGTTGCGAACACTTTAAGTACGTAAAATTCTAAATATTACTATAATTATTTTTTTTTTAAAAACCAGTTTTTAACGAAAGGAAAAAACAAGAAACCTTCGATATGGATTACAGGCAGCGATGATTTTCAGTGAAGGGCAAAGTTCAATTGGTGCTCCTTGAAAAGATCCATCACACATCACTTCTTTTATAAGTCCAATATGTTCAGTAGTGTTTGCCTCATCAAAGAATAAGATGGTAAAAATATCACCACCAAACTTGGTAACATTTTCCTGTGCTATATCATTTGCTAAAAATAGCTTATTCTTTATGTCTTCTTCTGTCGTCCCCCCATGAATCTGAAAATACAAATATCATAATTTAAAAAAAATTATACAATCAAAGGTTCCATACATCCTCAGAGTCGATGAAATTGACGAAATTGATGAAAGATTTTACTTGGCATTATTCAAGTACCTTCATTAAAATCATACTCTGGAAGTGGCTCTCAGGACATTGTAGCTGAGAAAGATATTTGATCAACCTTGTTTTACCACACCCAGTTTCACCCATAATAACGACGGGAATGCCAGCCCTGTAAAATATTAAAAAGTTTTGAAAACAGTTAGTTATCAGTTAGTTATCACATCACGTTAGTATTAAATCAGATGTGTATACTTAAATATAGTGGGTGACCTACATGTATGGCAATAATGTACAAACTTAAAGCATGTAATCCGGTAAATACTTTTTTTTTTTAAAAAAATATCATCCACAAAACCAGATCCCTGGGCATACGCATGTATGTTTTATCCAAATAAAGTTATTCAAACTTGTTCCAAATGATAAAAATGACACCGCAATACAGCTAAATATATAACACTCACTTGTCAGAAATGAACTAGATATCCAAGATTCTTGAGTGTCTCTCAAGTAATATGATAAATTCATCTTTTCAAAATATCTCCGTAACAAAATATTATATATATGTTTCCATTCAAAATCCCTTTAACATAAAATTTCATGAGAAATTTGTGTATTCTTATATTCAAAGACTTTGATATCTTACCTAATTCATCCGCATGAGTATGGAATATGAAATTGTGCTTGAGTGAATATTTCCTTTGAAATATGATTATTTTTTATTATTAAGTCTTTATTTATTAGTTCTTGTTTCAAATAAAGGTCAGTTTGGTGATACAACAATATTCCTAATAAAGCATAATATATAAAATTGACGTTAAAAAAGTACTGTACATGTATATCATATTAGTATTGTATATTGAACAGTTTATATGAACATCAAAAAGCGACTTTCTAGCTTTGGCACAGGAATAATGACTGATTGTGGAGAAGCCTTGCATTTTGATCCTTATCCCCCCCCCCAAAAAAAATACAACAGCCAAATATAAAACTCACACAAGATAAAAAATGTTATTTAAAAGATCTACATTGAACCTGAATCTCATATATATAGCTAGCATCTTCTTCACGTTATCCGCTGTAACTTCGTAAGTTGTGTCCGGATCGTGCTCATAGTCAAACTTGCCCATACACTTCCACATCTTTTCAAGCAGTTTCTTCCTAATAAAATATTTAAAAAATATAAAATGGAAACATATATTATATATTTCATTAAACAACAAGGATTTGCTTTTAAAACATGATAAAAATGTTAAATTGTGTAAATTATAAGACCAATTAGTTTTTGAATTTTATAATTGTGATCGTTAAAACTCTGACGTCATAAAAACATTAATTACAAAATTGTAGAACAACATAGAATTGACAATATTTGATCTCTCAAATTTTACTCATAAACATTGATTTAAAATGATTTATCAAAAATTAAAAGATAAAATGTAATAAATATGCATATAAGGAAAAGTATTGAGCGTAAATTTTTTAACCACTCTTAACTACCACGTTAACATAAGCATCGTTTAATTCAGCTCTTAAATTTTTTAGATGTAACACCTGGCTTAAGTTACCTAGAAAGTGAAGACATCTGCTCATTAAGTTCAACTTTCTGGAGCTTCAATGCATCATATAATTCTTTTGTGAGTATCTTTTCCTCTAATATGGAATTGGTCTTCTGGTCAATGAGGTTTAAGGTTTCTTCTTGTATGTTAAACCCAGCAAAAGTAAATGTTCCTCCATCAGCATTGAAAAATAGGTAAGGATGTGACCTTCACAAAGCAAAGGTGAGCATAGTCATTTACTTAAAAAACAATTGAAAAGATGTTGAAAACAGGCCCTCTGGCCTTGATTGTACTGGCTATCAGTAGTATGATTATAATCTTGAGAGTATGTCACCAAATGACCAATTCATTCTCGCAAGAGACTAGACGCTAGAATAATTTTACAGATTACTAGTATTTAGGACTACGTAGATACTTGAAATAAGAAAACAATATACCCATCCTCCCAAGATCTTCTCATTTCATAATTCTTTAAGTCATCTAGATCCACATTCATTCGCATAGCTTCTTGGCCTAGTTGCTCACTTATTTCTATTGATCTTGTTGCAAAATCCTTTAAAATGATAAAATCAGTAATCTTAAAACCATAAAGTATATTTTTCAACCCCCTTATTTACCATAAATAATTAGAACTTTCTTTACTTTATTCTATGTAAATATTCAAAATTTTTTCGAAGTTTAAATACACATGTCAATTTAAGAACATTTGTACTGAAAAAAATCAATTGTTTAGCAAAATACCAATCCAATACCTCAGACATTCTCACGAGAAAGCGCACAACAAATGAGCAGAATCCTGGTAGGTCTTGCTCCGAAGCAGCTGTACAAAAGTTACTTCTTTCGTAGTCCACAAGTTGCCTGTTCAGAAAGCGAACAAATTGCTTCAACTCTGACCAGGTGGGGTCTTGAACTCCACAAAATCTGTGAATATAATTGAATTTACATGTATTTTGAAAATGAGTTCTTAGAAATATAACAAGAGGCACATTAACAGGGGTCACATCGCTTACCTAGCAACTGGCAAAGTAATAGCAAAAATCAATTCAGTTTTGAAAAGTTAAATGTAAAAAAGGGTTCCCAGGAAGGGGGTTCAAACTCAAATCTACAATTCCTAAGAATGTTTTTAAATTGATCATTATGATAAATAAGGCTTTGCTGTTTTGGAGAGGGCTTATATTGACCATGCCTGCTGCCCAATCCGTTTATGTATTTCTTACATAATAAAATATGTTCAAATCAAATCAAGGCTTTGCTGTATATAAAATGAAAATTTTGATTGATGTAGCCTTTATATTCCATTGTATAACTATGATCCACTTTAATGGCTCCTCTATTCTCCTGCTTGGCTATGATTTGAACAAATCTAAATCTGAATTACCTTTTTGATGCTTTTATTTTGATGATCAATCATGGCTTTGTTGTTCTGTTGTTCTTGAGAAGATTTTTGAAGATTTGTTCTATGTATTCCTATGATAAACTTTGATACCCTACCCTTTCCCGGGTCATGATTTTAACACTCTTGAATCTATACTACAAGAAGATGCTTCCACATGAGTTTCATATTTCCTGGCCCGGTGGTTCCGGAGAAGAAGATTTTTAAAGATTTGTCCTATGTATCACTATTAAACTTTTATCCCCCATTGTAGCCCCACCCTTCCCCGGGGCCATAATATTAACATACTTGAATCTATATTACAAGAGGATGCTCCCAAATGAGTTTCATATTTCCTGGCCCTGGGGTCTGGAGAAGAGGATTTTTAAAGATTTTCCTTATGTATTCCTGTGAAACTTTGATCCCCATTGTGGCCCCACCATACCCCCGGGGGGTCATGATTTGATCAAAACTTGAATAAACACTATCTGAGGATGCTTCCACATGAGTTTCATATTTCTAGCCCAGTGGTTCTTGAGAAGATTTTTATGAAAAAAAAATCCTATGTATTCCTATGTTAAAATTTGATCTCAAATTGTGGCCCATCCTATGTCAGGGGATCATGATTTGTATAAAATTGAATCTACACTACCAGAGGATGCTTCCACGTGAGTTTCATCTTTCCCGGCCCAGTGGTTCTTGAGAAGAGAATTTTTCATATGATGTCATCAATTTTTTTTACTAATTCATAATTATCTCCCCTTGGAAGAGGACATTACTTTGATTTGAACAAACTTGAATCCCTTTACCCAAAGATTCTCTGTACTAGGTTTAGTTGAGTCAGCCCAGTGGTTTGTGAGAAGAAGATGAAAATGTGAAAACGACGACAATAACACCAACACCAACAACGACAGACAACGGACAAATTTTGATCAAAAAAGCTGACTTGAGCCTTCGACTCAGGTGATCTAAATAGCGTATTAAGGAAAATATATTATCATGATCTATTAGAAAAATTATCAATAATTTACCTGGTAATTCACAGAATTTATCACACTGAAGATAACGATCAGAGATCGATCTAAAAAAAATCTTTAAACTATACAAATTTAAGAAGAAAGTATGAAAAAGGACCCCCCTGGAAATTCCAGAGATGGTATCAGGTGCCTAAGATAAGTAAGCATGCCCTGTTTAATGGTATTTCTAGAAGATATTATCATAAAATGCACAATCAAAATAAGCGCCAAATCCTGGCAATAATCATACCTTAGAAGAATATCCAAACAATCCTTTGGATTTCCATCTGGACTTTTGTAACGGAAACTGCCGGTTAGATTTTTTGTTTTAAACTTCTTTAAATATTGGTATGGTCTTTGAAATACTTCTGACTTGAATTCTTCATGATCAAATCCCTGGTCTTTGTCTTCAAATGAAAAAAAAAAACAAATTGTGTTAAAACTAATCATTATAAGCCATAACTGTTGTTTACTAGTAAAACAATTTCCATTCAAATTTCACAAAGAAAAACATTTACCTGAAAGTTTTTCTGTGTGAATACTTTCTTTGGGGGATCTACATTCCATCACTGGTAGAATCTCTAGTATTTTGTGAAATTTTCCGACCTATTAAATTTCGAAAAAGTTTTTAGTATCTTATCTATTGATTCAAGGAATATGTACTTGTATACAGCTGTATATAAACAAAACTATGAGTCCTCTGACTATACCTCTTGAACACATAAGTATTCAATGATATAAACGTCTTCTGGTTTTCTTATCCATATATTTCCTGAACTGTCAATCAAAGTTTTGATTATCACCAGGTTGAACAAAAGGTAATCTACGCCTTCAGAAACCTGAAACATAATTCGTTTATTCAATATGCATGTACATAAACTAATATGAAAAAGACATGCATATAATAAATCTTAAAATGCACTTTAGTAACCTCTGGAGAAATATCAATGTGGACAAGATTTCTTCCATCTTTATCACGGTGTTTTTGAAGAACGGTCATAACTTTGTCAACATCTGATCGCCTCTGATACAGAGGTACGCCGATGAGATTTACATTGGGAATCAATTTGGACGTTTTCCTTTTCCAGAATGTTTTGCCAAGTCCTGGTCTTTTCGAGATAACCAAGCTTACTCTGAGTAAAAAATAAGTATGCATTTTTTTTACTTTGCTAACTATTTAACTGATCAAAACTTAAATTAGAATTTCTTCATTTTGTAAAATAAATATGCTTACGAGTTCGGCCCTTTCCTCCTCAATACATTATCCTTTACATAATGTTTAATATCTGACAAAACAATGTGAAGAGGCGGATTTCTTCGGTATTTGTTCAGTTCTGCTACAATTACAGACTTTGCTTCATTTTCTGAGCTGCAGAATATTACCAACTGAAATTCTGCAATGATAAATTACATAATTCAACTTTCATCTTACTTTTAGACAAAAACAAAAACGATTTTTAGATGTTAATCTTAATTCTTTATACCTTTGATCTCTTTCTCCAGAAGAAGATTGCGTAAATTTTCTGCTGCTTGTTTGGCAACCAGAAATTCCAGTCTGTCCGCAAACATCAAGGTATAGATGCGGTCTCTTCCAATAGGACCAAGGGTACGACGCCAAAATATATCAATCTAAACAAAGGTATGAAGTATATTTATTGTTAAAAATCTAGATTCTTCCAACAAACGCATGTGTCGCATGCCTTAACGCATCAATAAAAATGTAGCTAACTCTTAGACTAGACAGGCAAACAAGGAAAAAAGCCTCGAATAAAATTACTTCGATAGACAATTAACAATATAAAATATGACAATTGAATAATACATGATTCTTAACTTTCAAGAATAAAATGAATAACGAACTTGAAATTATTTGACAGCTCGACATACTGATGGACATACACATAAGGGTAAAATAGTATAATTTTGGTATGTTAAACTGTATATTGGCTCTATATACTATTTTTAAGTAAGGTCGAAGGTCAACTTCAAAGCTTTAAAAGTTAGCACAATGGTAATCAACAAAAGGCATAAGGCACAGACGGACGGACAGATAGACAGACAGACGCCGGGTTAAGTGATCCCTAAGTGTTGTTCTACTCTGCAGGCAAAACCGAAAATAAACATGCTGAATATTCATGATCTATGATTTTCGAAATTCCGATATATGTTTGTGTGTGTAGCGTCTTTGTACTCCA